TATATTTCTGGTTGGAAGGTGTTATCATTATACTTTTTATCTCTTTCCCAGCCAAATTGTTCTTTGCACTTGTCACAAAAGTTCGGCCAGTACTACCCCTACACCCGCTACTCTCCTATGAAGTCATGGACTGCAGCCCCAGGCATCATAATGGCGACAGGTACATTGAAGTGCAGTTTTTTTGTTTTTCTCTATTTCGCATCATGTGAATACTCCTCCATTCCTCTTTTTTCTCTTTCACCTCCTCTTCTTTCTTTAACCACTTGCAAGTTTTAAAATACATGTACATTGACCCTTCAATTCCCAGAAGTGATTAACATGAAACTTCTCCCTACAATATCCATACATTATCCAGCAAACAGGTAATAAGAATATTCAAACTTCTCTGATAGCAGCTGCTATCTTGATCTAGCAACAAATTCTCATATCTAATTTACAAGGGAATGTGTAGCAGCTAGAGGGGAGAATTAACAATCAGATCTTGGGAGTTAAAGGGTTAAAGGGAACCATCATCGTTGTCCTTGTATTTTTTCCACTTCCACCTCCTTTTTGCTCCTATTGTAAAAGTTATCATAAAAATAATAATAATAACTTTATTTTCCGAACCGGCTTACGTCAGCCTGTCCAGCCCTACACACGCCGCTTTCACTGTGGTTTTGTATGGGCTTATGCGGGTCATGTGATAATATTCTCTATTCCGTCTTACTTTGACTTTCAATGTACTCAGGTTACTAACATCAATGCCCATATTGTAAATTTTCAGGTACCTATGGCAAAAACTTGAGACTGAACAGTGACATCTTCCTGTCAACAGATGCAGGCTTGAACTGGCACATGGTAACCAATTGCATTTGTATAATAAGCTGCATCACGCACACGCTCTGATTGGTTCTTTCTTATGAGCTTGTAAGAGGGCAGAGTTATAGATACGTCCCTATTAACAATTTTCAGTTTCTTTATTATATGAAACAATTCAATTTCATGTTGCCGCGAGTCTGTACAGCAAGAAATCACAGAGGATGTCAAAATGTGACAAGAACAGCAGTGACACACTCAATCTACCTGTGTTACCGAACAGACGTACACCATCATAGAATATATTAAATCTAAATGTGTTATTGTAGAAGTCTAATTTGCTGAGTTTACTAATATTATGGTAATTCTAACAGCCTAACGGAACTGAAGACATCATCACTTAAACCAATTCAGTCTCAAAGAAAATACAAGGAAGGGCGGTACATACAACCTGCTTATCACCCAATCATGATTTTTTTTTGTGCTTTTGATTGGTTGATATGATGGCATAAGATTTCATCACCAATCACGCATTGCTGTCGAAGAAAACCTATCCAATCCTATATACATTACATACACTTTTAACATTCCATTGAAACCTGCTTTGAAATATTTGCGAAATACAAAGTTTGTGGTACAAGTTATGTGTAAGATATCTCAATACAAAGATGATCTCGCTCTGTGGTCACTTCTGTAATTTAAAATGGCTAGAGTGGCATTTGAAAAATTTTCTGGTCTTTCTGTTTAAGCTACATATACTTCTTTTTTTTTTTTTATTTTCTTTTAAGTGTGTTTTGACGACGCTAGTACTAGCGGCACTAACACTACCAGCAAGGGAGGATTCTAGGGTATTGAGCTTACTTTTTATTTTCTCAGATTCTGAAACGTCCCTTTTGGTGGTACAACCTTGGCGATCATGGTGGAATTTTCATCGCGGTTCAGAGAAGTAGACTGACAAACTTGATTTAGTAAGTAAAGAACAAATTAATTCTGATCAGATAGAATTAACTGAGACAGCATAATGAATTCAAGCTTGTAAGAAATGTATTCTGAAATAGCTTTTGAGAAGGTTTATCTTAAAACTAGCAATATTAAACTCTAACTTTGCTATAGTTTGCAGAGTAGGTGTAATTTTGACGAACGAAAATTAGTGCTGCCATCTTTGATTTTTTACAGCAGTGGATGGCTGGGGTTAGAAATATTTCGTACCAAGGGGGTTAGCGACGTTCAAGAGAAACGAGAGGGGAGGGGGTGGGGTAATAGAATTGTCGTCTTTTTTACACTGTTCACTCTTAGTGTAACTCCACACCAAACATGGCCAGCCGGATAAACGATTGCGAGCTTGTAACGGTAACTCGTCTTAACAAGACGCCTGCACTACAGGCTTTCTTTCCGAAGAAGAAGTCATTGTTTTTTTTCTTTTTATCTTTAGTTATAGCTGGAATGAGGGAGAGACCTGGTTGACTTACAGGTTCTTAAACAGCACCAGGATGAGAGTGTATGGTCTCCTGACAGAGCCCGGTGAACAGAGTGCTGAGTTTACAATCTACGGGTCATATCCTGGGTATCACAGATGGGTTGTTGTTCAAATCAATTTGAGAAAGGCACTCGGTAAGTCATTTATGTATTACTAGTCATAAGCTATTTCAAAATTTTCCCGAGATAGCCCCATAGCGTTTTAGCCTGATTATGACACCGCGCCGGGGTTTTCATGGAGAATTTTTTTTTTTTTTCTGCCATCATGGTTACTGAAAGTTACCAAAATGTAAAATTTAAGGGTAGGGCTGTTGTTTCCTGTCGCAAAATATTTACATCAAGGTTTTCGTTCTGAAGTTAAAACGCGACGAAAGAAGGTGCTTACTTGCGGTTAATAGACTTTGCTTTTAATTTTTCCAACTATTCCAATTTGCTTCGGTGAAATCTTCCACGATTTTTCACAATAAGTGACATTTGTCCTGCCGATTATTCTAGGATCGAAAAAATTAGGGGTTAGAAAGGGAGTTTCTTCGCTTTTTGTTTTTTTGCCTCTTTAAATTTGAATTGGTCTCATGAATTTTCAGGGGGTTCAAGTAAATTTTGAGCGATAAATAATGAGCAGTTCCTAATCTGACCCATTTTTTGACGATAGGTTCTCCATGCTTGAAGGATAAAGACTACAAACCATGGATACCATCAGACGAACGGAACGGAACATGTTTGTTAGGAAGGAAGACTATTTACGAGAGGCGTATCTCTCATGCTCACTGTTATAACGGCTACGATTATGACCGTCCGATCTCATCTCAGAATTGTCTATGTGATAAAGAGGACTTCGAATGGTAGGGCTAATGAACAGCAGAGTAACATTTTCTTTTCCAAAAGCACACAGTTTATGTCACATTTAACTCCAGTAAATACCAGTCAAGTTAGCTTCTCAAGAGGTTAGCCTAGGAATTAACCCCTGAGTTAGTTAACTTACAGTATTGCCCGCTTGTAGCAGCTTCGCCCATGTTAAGTGCGAATTACGCAAGCCTCCAGTTCGTGTGATGGCGCGTGTGTGGAAGCAAAGTTGTACGCTTCGTTCCTGGTTTACTTTTTCCCTGAGGTAACAAGTTTCTGGCTGGCGAAGCATGTAGGGCTCCACACTGATTAAGGTCCATGTCCAAGCTGTTTTTGAAACTCCTTGTGGACGTGTCAACTTTCATTCATTTTAAATAGAAGTGCATGAGCTTACAGTACACGTACAAGCCTCATCCAGTATTTTCCACACAGATATGATGGTGATAAAGAGCAAAATTGCATGTTGTATTCAGGCCATTTGATGCATTTCCAGAATTTCACAGTGTGCAACTATTTCCAGTTAATGAATTTTACTGTATCTGCCATCAAGTTAAAAGTACTTCTGTAAAATTGTAGTGATGTGGGATATATCCCTGACGCCTATAATCCCGATAAGTGCGTATTTGACAGAACCAGTGGATTGTCTCCTACAAGTATGCCAGCTTATTGTCCTCCTGGAAGCACCTACCGCCGCACGAAAGGGTATGTAGGGATGAGGACTGGTACAATAGAGAGGGTTCAAGTTGAATGTCGAGAGTAATTCGGGAT